ACACAACAAACAAAACAACTTAACAAAGAACACGACAAACTCACTGATGAAGCCAGCATCCAGATGCTTAGGGGCCGTCCAGCCATGCAACTGACCTCCATGACCATCATCATCATCAACAGCAGCAGCATGATGGACATCGTCTTCCAACGATGTCGGAATACTAGTGTCATAGATCATTGGGTTGTCCATACTGTATACATCCTCATCTTCATCTTCCAGTGCTCCAACACCAAATGCCTGTATGAGCAACGAATTGTGAATGTTCACCCACTGAATAAATATTTCAATCAATCAATCTTCGTTTAGCGTCCAGAGACCCGGTTCCCCGAGGTAAGACGTCACTGAATAAATATTTACTACACAAATTGAATAATTATTATAACTAATGAATAACTTTTGAGTGTAATTAAATGAGTAAATATGAATGACTATTTTCTACACAAATTTACCATGAGCAATACAGAATAACTTGACAGATTATTAACGTTTAATAATAATGGCTATTGCCGTTGTTACATTTCAAGGGCATTTAAGTATAAAATGAATACGTTTGTGTTGAGTGTTTAACAATAAGATCTATCGTACAAACACAAATTTAAGTAGTGTGGAACTTTAATGTGGAACTTTAATGTGCCACGTCAGAACCAATCATCAAACTAAATCATCCCAACCTGTCCTTTTATTCCTTTATTCATCCTCCTCATCACTCCGTCACTCCTCTTTGCAGCTTCCCTCAACCTATCCTTTGTGATGAGAGCGTCGTTGACATCGATGCCCCGATAGCCCAGACCATGCAGGTCACATTTGATGGTGAAGTTGATGGGGCAGATGTCCTCTGCTGATAACTGGTCATCATCATTTCCATCACCATCCTCATCGTCGTCTTCGTCATCATTCACTTTCTGTAAAGAATTCAATTCAATTGCAATGATATAACTTGATTGTGATCGTGGGATGGTATCAGCAACGAAAAACGTGAATAAGGAAATGTAAGGCTACTAAACACCAGTTGAAGTAAAATGACACTAAGAAATAACAATAACAACATTACAATATATAATAACATCGTATAAATAATATGAAAAAAAAACCACACCAACTTAACAACATGATAACAACAACACAACAACGGCATGACAACAACAACAACAACAACATGACAACAACAACAACATGACAACAACAACAACATGACAACAACAACAACAACACAACAACAACAACATAACTACTGTAACAACAACCTACTAATCCAACCTTGTGCAACATCATCAGCTCTGGAGGCAGCTCACAACCATAAGCAAGCTTTGCCACACCTTATTTCAAAATAAACAATAATAATAATGATGATAAAAATAAAAAAAAAATAATAATGTCATTTTATTTTTATTTATTAATAATACATAAATTGAAAAGTGGTAACAAATCACACATCAAAATGTTGGCAAATTGAAAATTATTTAAATGTTAAAAATGTTAATGAGATAGATCTATTCTATAATTATTTATAGAATTTATATAATTATTAAACTTCTATTCATACAAACTATAATAATGGTAATAAAATAAAATACTTGTACCTTCAACAAACACAATCGGTATTTGAAATATATCAATGAAAAAAAAAATCACAGAAACAAAATTGTGAAAATGAATTTCCTACTATAAAACGTCTGTAATAGTTTAATAACTAAAGTATCCCAAAGCATAATAAAAAAAACTAAAATGCAATCAAGAAATTTGAAATGGAAAAATAATAAATACTGGATGGATTTGAAGTTTTATTCATCCTCTTCCATCTTTTTGCCTTCGTTCCCACACCCCTGCCATGCCTCCATCCTAATTTCCTCAATAACCTCATTCCTATCGTTGCCCTATTTCAAGGGTCATGTTTTACATTAGATGTTTGGTGGATGAAAAAATAAATGAAAGAATGAAAGAATGAATGGATGGATGAGTGAGTGAATGAATGGATGGATGGATGGATAGATGAATGGATGGATGGATGGATGGATAGATGAATGAATGGATAGATGGATGGGTAGATGGTTGAGTGAGTGAGTAAATGAATGAACGAACGAACGAACGAATGAATGAATAAATGAATGAATGAACGAACGAACGAATGAATGAATGAATGAACGAACGAACGAATGAATGAATGGAAGAATAAATGAATGAACCTGGTAGGTTTGAGACAATGAACCAAGTGAGAACTAGTGAAGAGAGAGAAGGCATCAGCTTGCTCAGTGGCTGTCATCTGGTTTTGTGACCTCACTTCCTCTCTGCAAGTTTTGTATTTATCCTTCGTAGCTAATTTCTTTGGAGCTATGCCAAATTCTCCAAAGTCCTATGCAAATTTAAAAAATGTGATTTCTGAGGAGAAGTGTCACAAAACATTTATTAGTGTGCATCTGTACAAGCATGCATCAGGAATGAGAAGTATAGAAATAACAGTGAAGAATGCAAAATATGAAAACTGGAGATAATATACAGAATATAAAAACTGAATACAATTACAGAGAACATAAAAAGTGAATGGATAGATGGATGCAAGAGTATATAGCTGACCTCCTCGTCCATGAAGTCTTCAGGTTTCTGGACATTCTCCTGCCTGCTCCTCTCAAATTTTGATGACTTGAATGTCTTTGGGGCCCAACCTTTTCAGAGATTCATGATAAATTATTGCAACATTTTGATGTAGTTTAATTTATATTTACTGATAACAGCTATAATCAGCATAAACAGTGACAACAGCAAAAGTTCAGAAAATGATTACAAAACTGATTACAAAAAATCTTTAACTTAACAAAATCTGTTCAATTTAATTTCTAGTATTTAGCTACCTCAGATAACACATCTCTGCTTTGAAGATTGAAATACTAAATTGTTCAAAAAGTACTTTAACTTAATGCTTAATACTTAAATGTACAAAAACAAGCAAACACACAAAAAATAAACAAACAAACAAACAAACAAAAAAAACAAGCAAACTAACAACAAACGAACCTTCTTTAGTATCCACAGTGTTGAAGTACCCAGCAGAGAAGCCGCCGGTGAAAGCGCCGTGAAACCGAATTCTTCCTTGAGCATCTCTTACCACCTGTTCATGCACCGCTATAGGTTTTCTTGATATGTGCTCATCTGGTTGGAGAAGAATATTAATTAATGAATCGGAAATTAAATAAATACCTTTATTGTTCACAAAAAATATGTTTAATAAAATATATTAGATTATTAATTATTTTATATAACAAATATGGATTTCTAAGATTTAAATTAATTAAAATTAAATTAAATCAATCATTCAATCAATTACATTACATTGCAAATACAACTTAATATTAAATTAAATTGTTAATTTGTATTTCCACTTATTTACAACTAAACTACTAGCACTGTTGTTTGTTTGCTTGTTTTTGTTTATTTGTTTGTGTTTATTTATTTTTTGTGTGTTTGCTTTCAAATAGTTGCAAATAAATTTGAAAGAAAAATTTATACAGTTTTTGTCAAATGGTTGTTGATGATTGTTGATGTTCAATTTTGTTTAATAATTTAATTAGTATTAGAGACAAGATACATAAATAAAAATAAATAAAAACTACTAAAATAAATAAATTATATTATAAAATAACATTATGACATGAGTTATTATAAGTTATAATAAAATAAAAAAAGGAAGAGCCAAGAGAAAAGCAAATCAAATTAAAGAGTGAAAATTTGCCAAATTATCTAACCTTCATTATATTGCGGAAGAGGAGTTCCGATTGTAACAAAATCATCTTTTTCGTCATCGGATTTGCCAGCCATACTAAAAAAACGAAAAGCAAGTACGTGGGATTTTAAATAATAAACAACCCACGATCGTACAGTTAGATACGCTTCCTGTTTATAAAATAAATTCACTTTTACAAATGATTATTCATGATGTAGCTTGATAAAATATTCAAGCATATATGGGCATATATGGTGTTTAAATATATTTAAAAATCATTGTAGTGCTCAATTTCTTGAGCATGAAATTTAAAATTTGATAATGGAAAACCCGAAAATTTGAACAAACCGAATAGTTATCACTATGTATTACAGCTCGGTTTTTTTTGGAATATGACGCTAATATAGTGAATTAAGCTAGTAGTTTTTTACCGGGTCCATGTAGTACTCAATCTTCTGAGCAGGGAAATGTATAATTTGGAAATGGAAATCCTGACGTTTTTAGTATATAGTCTCTTGAATCGAACGTATCATTATGTATTAGAGTACTCCCATTTAGCTTGATTTTTCGGCTGTGACGATGATATAGTGAAATAAGCTGTAGTTTCTTTTAAAGATTAATGACCGGGACGGGCCATGACACCTCGTTGTGAACAACATTTTTATTAAAATTCAGAAAAACTAAATCGTCCAAACTTCGAGATTTTTTTTTTATTCTTATTCCTTAAAAATTAGAATCTGACAAACGCTGAAGCTGTTACAACATGCAAAGCAATAGTATAAAATGATACAAAGAATAATTAAATAAAATGCTTTTAAAACCATGGATATGATATGGATATGATATATATATATATATATATATATATATATATATATATATCCATGTTTAAAACGAATTACATCAAGTGAAACTCTCTAACGAAGCGCTTCTTATGTTGTAATTTTTTGTTTGAAGGCCAAGGCGTTAAACGCTCGAGTATTGAGATTCCATCATAATTAAAAGTTCTTGTGTAAGTGGTGTGTCCCTCGTATCTTTCCTGCCCTGCGGTCATCATCGTCCAAACAATTTGCGAACATCCTTCGTATTTCTTCTTCTTGTAGTCATGTTTTTTTTTATAAAATAACAATCGAGTTATTTATGCTATTTTGTATTTAATTATGTTGGTTAGGTAACCTAACTTAGGCTACTTTCCTTACCTTAGGTTACTAGTTTTTTAACTTAAAATAAAATAATTATGGTTATTTAAACTTAACATTAACAAACTACTAATCAAATCAGAATTTTTTGTTTTAAATGTTAAGGAAATAGAATTCCAATATTGAATAATTATAATAATAATTACTGGACTTGAATAAAAGTTCAATTCAAAGTTATATGCAGTGATTAGAAATTTAATCTAATTAGAAAAATAATTTTAATCATTAATAATTTAATAATAATTTAATTGTAACGGATAACCATACAGTGACATTTGCATTTGTTTTACAACAATTGTTCATGATATAATAAATCTAAAGGCGAAAAAATGGTTTAAATTGGATTCAATGATGTCTGAAAGTTTAAAATCTACTAGTTCAAACAGCATTGTGTTGTCACATCATGAGATGTGCACACTCAACCTCAATAATAACAACTGCACATCTCAGTCATTGACAAGTGCTTTTGTTGACGAATCAGAAGTCAATGGGTTTTTTTCTTTACTTACCAGGTTTCTGACATGCCAAAGAAAAACTAAATCAAATTTTAATGATGATAAAAAATATGTGAGAAAAAGCTGGTTATGTTGTGGAGTGAAAAATAATGGATGTCATTCTAAACAACATCCATCAACTTCATCTTCCAGTCATTGTTCTAATGAGTACACTCCATCACCTAGATGTAGTTATAACCGACCAGATGATCCAGACATTTTAAGAGTTCATTCTAAAACTCTTCCTAATTCAAAATGTACAAAAATTGTTTTAAAGAAATGTGTTATTTCCACTCAAACATTACCTAAAGAAGCCAAATATGCTAATACAACCATCGAGCCGGTGACATCAAATCCTATTAGTAATAAAGTAGATTTAAATTCGACAACTACTCCATCAAAAAATAACCCAGTTGTAAATCTAAATCCATCTGTTTCAGCAACAGAAGATGTAACTGTTCAGTCATACCAAACACCAGTTCAGCCTTCAAATACATCTGATTCTTCCAACACATTACCACTTTATGATCAGGTTAGAGAATCATCAAATGATTGTTGGAGTCTTTCAAAAGAACTTGAAAAGCTCACTCGTTATGGTTGGTATTGGGGCCCAATAACAAGAGTTGAAGCAGAAGAAAAATTGGCCAACCAACCAGATGGAACTTTTTTGGTTAGAGATAGCTCTGATGATCGTTATTTGTTGAGCTTAAGTTTCAGATCCTACGGTCGGACATTGCATACCAGAATAGAACATTGCAATGGCATGTTCAGTCTTTACACACAAACAGAAAGTGAGGGTTATCGATCCATTATAGAACTTATTGAACATTCTGTATCTGATTCGCAAACGGGCATATTTTGTTACTCAAGAGCCAGAACTCCTGGGTCACTGTCATTTCCAGTTAGATTAACCAAACCAGTTTCAAGGTTTGCAAAAGTTCGATCTCTACAATATCTTTGCAGGTTTCTTATAAGGGAATCCATCAGGCTTGACCATATAAGACAATTACCTTTACCGTCTGCCATGAAAGATTTTCTTGAAGAAAGACCTTACTGACAAGATTTTAAGTTTTTTTTAATTTTCCAAATAAAAAATTTTTTAATTTTTACTTTCAGCTGTTTTTAATGTAGTCAGTGCTATGTAAAGGTTTGAATAATATTTTCATTTGTATCTTGATTTTTTTTATTTCTTGTTGCAATTTTATTTTAAGTTCCGTCCTTATAATCTATTATTCTAATTTCTATCTTAATTCTTATGATAACCTAATCTACAGGCACTGCAAACTTGGTTCAAATTGAAATGAGCATGTGATTCTTGTAACAAGTATTTTTATGATCAGTGATTTAAACGATTTAGTCATTTTATTTTGTCATCAAAAATGCATTAACTGTTTTTCAATAATTTTATTTGGAAATAAACGCAGACAATTGTTAGCAGTTATTTCATTTGTTTATGCACGACACGCACACATTTTTTCATAATGTTACAACAGTTGTTCCTTTTCGAGCATCTTAAATTTTTTTTGGAAATTAATCACCCATGTTTTGTTTGTATTGTTTTTTGCTTCTAAGCTATTATGTAAATAGTTTGTAATGCTTGATCTTGTTCTAAAAATTATTTTATATCAAGTTGTTGGACACTACACGATAAACCCTAATTATTTTATCTACGTAAAGCTTGTTAATACATGCAAGTAAACATGAATATCTACTAATTATATATATATATACATGTCATTTAATTTATTTGTATATTTATATGTATTGTAGTCAAAGTTATTGTTTTTTACATTGCAATTTCTTTGATTGTAGTTGAATAAAACTTCTAAACGGTAGTTTTTATTTTATAGCGGTTTTAGGAACTGGCTCTTGACTGCGTTATCACATAGTTCATGCACACAAACTTATTAATCAAGTGGAAACCAGAGCATAAACAGAGGGCAAACTAGGGCGATCTATGCCAATCTAACTTAATATTTGTAAGAAGTGGCAAATGTGCCTCTCCTGGTCATTTAGTAGTAGAGAGATATTCCAATGGTACATTCCCTCAGGTGATTTATCAACTAGCAGAAATATTGAATACTAATTTCCTTTTCATATTTAAATGGATCAACAACTTCGAGATTAATATTTTTTCCAGCAAAATGAAAACTTAACAATTTTTACAATGTGCATTAAAATAAATATACATGTTAATTTAAACTGTACATTGAGTAATCTATAAATCAACTCAATTAAAATTAACAGCAACGGAGAAATTTAAAGCAAACGTTAGCGAATTCCAGATTTAAGATGGCTGCTGAGTGCCTGCACATTTTTAAGAACCTCGCAAATTACAGAAAAGTATTTAAGACTCAATAATTAGATAACAAATTTTAGAACATTGACGACATCAACCACAAGACAGATAATGCTGAGTATATATACATATATATATATATATATATATATATATATATATATATATATATATGCATCATACGCCTGTATGTGTATAACAAAAAAACGTTGATAGTTGTAAATCTGTATTCAACTAGAATAGAAAAAAATTAGTATTAGAATAGTTTTAATCTTGATCCAAGAGAGACAACAAAGGAAATATTATAACCGGATCAAACGATTATAAATTAGATTTGGTGAAAGACACCCTCAGGTACTGGGGTCCTGGAAGTTGATAGTTGTGCAATTCCTGTAAAATGAAGTAACATTTTCAGTTCAAAAAATGTCTTCAATGTCATCCATATTGTAGAAATTTAAAAAAATGAGCTAACCACAAGTGCAGCTACGGCGTCTTCAATGGTTTCCATCTTTAACAGTGCCATCTTTTTTTCATTTCTATAAGTTTTTATTTTTTTATCAGCATTTGAATTTTCAATAAAATTAAATAAAAGTGAAATTAATTAAGTAATAAAATTAAATTTTTAATAAAACGAATAAGAAAAAAAGGGTATATACTAACTCAAGAAATCTAAAACCCACAACATGTCCACATTTGCCAAACAAATCTCTCAATTCATCTTCAGTCATAGATTGACTGCAAAAAAGCATTAAGTTTTAGTTTAACCTAGCCAATAAATAAATAATAGTTGAACAGAAATTGTAGAATCAAGATTTTGATGTATTGTTATTTCAACATTGTTTCCAAAAATTGCAATATTTTACCAAATTGTTTCATTTGAATATAATAAGAAACAAACAAATTCAAATAAAAAAGCAACATTTAATTTGTCTCACGGTATATTAGTAATGTGTAACACAGCAGAGGGTGGATTGATTGCTCCGTATTTCTTGGATCCTGGATTAGCATGTCTGTGCAGTTTAGAGTTGGTATAATCCTTTGTCAGACCCTCATCCTTGTAGAAGCAAATGATTTTAAAATAAATATTTGATGAAATGAGGACATGTCATCATTTTTGCCGTTTAAAAGATTATAAAGATACAGCTTGACCTAGTCATCTCAAAAATGATTGCACGCATGCACATATCCGACCATTCATTCCTTACATAGAAAGGCCAAATTAAATTATGGTCAATTCATTCTTTCAAGTTAATTTCAACCTTGCCCCTAACTTTTTTTAACAATTTCCAAAACTTTGCACCTTTTTACTCAAATGTTTTCACCTTTGTATTTACAAACGGAAGTGATTCTCAACTCTAAGCTCATTTCTTATTCACTATTATAACAATTACCCTTTAAAAGAAATTTCACCTATACTCAATATTTATTTTTAAGATTTCTACTATATCAAGTAAATTCTTTATTGATAGATTTTCTAGTAAAAAAATTCTATGGGGACATACTGTAAATAGCCAATAAATTCATCCAACTGCATTATTCATTCAAGAAGGTAAAAAAAATTGAACACGAAAAATGATATAATAATTTGTTAATAAGATGTTAAAGACATACCGCCTGTCCCTCTTTGGGCATTTGGATGTAGTTGTGCTTTGACACTGAAACTTTCATCACTTTACCGTACCACTTCAATTTGTCAAGACAGTTAACAGCTATTTTGAAAAAATTAAATATTTATAATTTTATTAAGGAAGATTAGTGAAAATAAACTGTCCATTTATTTACATGGTTGGCAACAAATCAGTGTCAGCATGAAAAAACATTTCATTGTTCATTATAAGCAAAGAATAAAAAACTAACCATTCAATGCAAGAGCAGGGTCACTGAATTGAACTAACGCTGTGTCCTTCTTATTGTACATGATCTTCACTCTGGTCACCATACCATACATTCCTGTTGATTCAAAATTAATTCACCAATCTATGAAATCAACAATATCATTGCAAACTATAATCTAATGTCCAACCACTATATTTATAGAAAAGCTTAATGAATATATTGAAAAGCAACAGTTATATAACAAGAAAACCTAAATAATTTTTACATTTATGAAAAACGTTTAATAAAATTTATTTATTATTTAATAATGACAATCATAATTCAATAAAAAATAAGGCAATTTTTGTTGATATATTAGATATAATGCGCTAGTAAATATTAGCAGCCAATGAATAAAATGAAATTTATGATGCTATTAAAGGAACTCATGATTATAATGTTATAATAATTCGATTTGTGCCGGCAACAAAATTCGTAAGTTCAAAAGTAAGATTTATGAAAAATGTCAAATTCTTAACAAAAAAAAAGAAAAACAAGTTAAAGAAAAAAAGATAACATGAACAAAGTATATAAAAACGTACCAAAAAGGGTGAATAGATAATCTGTATTGACTTTCTATAGATGAGATTGTTTTGAGTGTAGTAAATAAGATGAATTAGTTGGCAACGTGAGTATAATATAAGCGCATGTACACAGTTTCAATTGAGTAACAAACGTAGTCGAAGTAGTTATTGAAACAGCACAGTTGAAGTAGTAGTTGTACACAACACACAGCACCAACAGGAGAGTATGGGAATTGGAATTTAAAATCAATGAGTTATATTTATCAATTATTATAGAAATTTAGAATAAGGTAAAATTAAGAACATCATTTTTAAAATAATTATGAAATTAGAATAGATGTTATATTAAAATAGATATAAAGTAAAATAGATATAAATTTATAGATTGAAATCTATGCCATGGCAAATTGATGAATAATTGAAAAAAATACAACCTCCTCATTGAGATTAGATATAATAAGAACACTGTGTCCCGTACTTTGGTTGTTGCCTCCCATCATCATACCACCTGCACCAGCCAGACCAGCACCAACACCTCCCAACATACTACCCAAACCAGCAAGACCTCCTATTCCACCCAAACCTCCACCACCAAAATTTCCCAATCCTCCGGCAGAAAAACCAGTCAGTCCTGCAGGCATGGCTCCAAGTTTGGAAATATTTGAAAAATTTCCCCCAATGCCACCAAGGGAGCCGCCCAAACCTCCAACTGTTTCATCAAATATATCCATATATCAATTAGTGAATCAGCAAAATTCCAACATACAAAAATTATAAGAACTATAGAATCATCTATAAAATTGATCTAACAGTTTCCGCTATATGATCCTAATATTCCATCTCCATGTGGAGTGTCCAATATGCCCATCTGCTCTCCAACACTAGCCATGGGACCAGAAGGCAAATTGGGATCCGTGTAGTCATAGGTCTTTTCATTGTTGTATTTGACTTGGAGTGTCTCCAAATGTGAATAGTCAATCCTCAGTGTACAACATCCGTTGTAGATGTTTTGACCATTTAAAGCCTGTTATGATATTATCCAGTATATATACCAAATTGTATCAAATGAAAAAATAAAATACTAAACTGTTAATCCTGATTTGGCTGAAATACCATCAGCATATTCAATAAGCGCTTGAAAGGAGTCTGCAATAAGATCAAAAATGGGAATAAAAATAACATAAAAAGATGATATTATATGAAAAAATAAAATAGGAATAAATAAACATACTGTTTTTATTGTACGTCACAATTCTCAAAACTTGACCATACTTTGAAAAAATCTGCAAATAAAAAAATCATTTGAGATAGAAAAAGATGGACAAGACAAGAAAAAATGAACAAACCAATTTAAGGATATCAACAGTTACAGGATAAAGCATGTTGTCAATGATAACTCTAAGCACAGTCCTGTTCTCATCCATGCCCAAGACCAGCTGATCAGTCAGATTACTCATGTCATCCTAAACATAGAGAAAACATCAATAAGGAATTTTAAAAACTTTTAAGCAAGAAAATTGTAAAAATATTTAGTATTCAAACTGAATTACTTGAAATCTTGTATTCTCAGTTTTCAACTTTTCATAGGTGGAAAACTGAACATGAACAACTCTTTTCCTTATAGATGGAGGATGTTCACCGTAATACTGCACCATTGCCTGGGCAGCAGCAATATCCATCATCTCCACTAGTGCCTTATTCAAAAAGATTTTATACGATTAATAACAAAAACAAATTTATGAATCCGGTGCTACCTAGGCTGGAAAAATGTTGCCACTATTATACATATGTTATGTTATGTGCATATATTTGTGTCAGTATATTTGAGTATAGTGTGAATACTTTAACAAACCTTTTAAAGTTACACTTGAAAAACATTTATAAAATAAGCGTAGCATGTTCTTTACCTGATTTTTTTTCTTTGACACAACTAGATTAGAAATCCTACCAAACGACAGCGCCAATTGAACAATTTCCACGTCACTGACATCATTCGGCACTCCTCGTAAATGTACAACACGGCTCGGCTTATTTACATTCACCTCCATTTTCAACTAAATGGAACAAATAATAAAAATATAAACAAACTTGACAATTTTAAAAATAAAATATTTAGTTAAAACATAAAAATATGCTTTTAGATAAAATATAGGTTAACAGTATTTAATAATAAAAATCGAATAAGTTTACTTTTTTGTTGTTGTAATCCATAGTTTGTGAATTCCCATTCGAAGAATACATAGAAGTTTGATTGTCAGATGAACGCTTATATTTCAAAGTTTAAAAATAACATTATTATTAAACAATTAAACAGTCGAATATAATGTAAGATCTTAAGAGTATTTGAAAATACAAGAATAGGTGCTTTAACACAAACGTCTTAAACATTTAAACCCCAAACATTATATTACTATTATTGATTTTCTTATTTTTAAGCTTTATCTAAAATTATCCATAATTTATCTGATAAACAGATGTGAGTATATAAGCTACAACTATAAATATGCTAAGAGAAATGTAATAAAGGGTTGTAAAAAATTAATAAGTTAAATAGTTTGAGGCTATTATAAATGAAAAATAATTAATAAAAATTAGTATACTGTCCATGTACAAAATTGAATAAAAATGCAACTAGTAATCTATGAAAAAATTCTCTTAATTAAAAACTATCCAGTTATGAATATGCTCAAAAATAATTTAACAATCTTTTTGAAGTATGCACAGCACTCCACTGTAACTCAAGACAAATCATTACTGAAAAAAGTTAAAAGATAATGATCAACGTACTTTTACGAAGTTTTAAGGTTTGAAAAAGCTTAGCAAGTATTATCAGCCGGTATTATGATCAACTCGTAAATCAAACTAAAATATCATTAGAGAAAGAATTTTGATTTAAAAATCATTCTCAGCCAAAAAAAATGGACGTACCTTCATTATAATAACATAACTTCTTGGATTGAAACCAGCAGCTAAATAGAAAGAAATAGAATTTACAAAATAATTTTCACAATAATAAATTTTGCAAAAAGAAATCGTTGATGTTTATTTAACTACGGCTACGTTACAAAACGAAAATAACCAAATAAACTCAACTGACAAAGAAACGGGCACAGGAAATTACATTAAATGGCGTATTTAAAAAAAAACCACAAATAGTAAATTATAATAAATCATATTATTTACTCCATCGGTCTGATTCTGATTCATACATATATATTTATATGATTTCAACAACTTAAAAGGTAAAATTTAAAATTAATATTTATTAAATTCAATTTTAGGCAATTTTAACTAAAGTAGAAAAGATACTAGAATTTCTAAAAACAAATATCACCTTGTTTGTTTTAATAAAAATGTTTTTGTTGTATATATAGGTAAAAGAAGAAGAAAATCTTCAGTCATTGATTAAAATTATCAAAATAATTCATTGGTTTAACAGAAAATGCTTTCACTTTTAAAAATACAATTTATTCAGCAAACAAATAGGAGGTTGAAAATAATGAAAATAATAAACTTCTCGCTTATTTTATCGCTGTTATTAACTCTACTACCCCGTAACGACGGTTGGTTTTTTACTTGATTGTTATAACTTTACTTTTTTAATAAAAGTGTGTGCATATACATTAAGAATATAATTTATTTCATTTATCGACGTTCTTTACAATTTAATAATCTGTAAAATGTATCACTAAAATATTCATTAACGTTTATTTCCAGCTACATATATCACGGAAGTGGTCAGTCCGTGCCCGGTATTGAAAGTTGAAGGAGCATTCGATCGGGAAATGAATGGTGTTTACTGGTTGGATCGCGGTTCACAATGTGTTCCTTCTTGGGTATCCATGACAGAAGGACAATTCAACTTATTTTATTTAGAGAACAGTTTTGATGGATGGGTTTTAAGTAAGCTTATTAAATAGATTTTAAAACGCTTTTTTAAAGGAAAAGACCATTTTTGAAGTTTAACAGACGCTAGCGTTATGTTACTACTCAGCTGAACAGTTTGAGCAAAGTGTATTTGGTTCGCACTTGTATTTTGAGCTTCAAGAATCTCTAAGGAACAAAGTTATTAATATATTTATGTTGATTACTAAACTTCTGATTTTATATGGTTAGGCCATTTATATTATATAATAACTTATATACGTGGGTTAAGTTGATGACGCCCATGTCATAGTACTTACATTAAACCCTTACTTTCAAGTACTTAATTCCATAATCTATACAATATAGTTAGCTAATGTTTATTTTCTAACTACTAAGGCCCACATTATAATTGTTTATCAAAATTATTTGTTTTGGTTGTGAATATTATGTGTTTTATAAAAAATTTACATCATTTATTCTATATTATATATAGTATATACCTAGCCTTAGCCATTCTTTAGGTTCCGTACTAGAGTTTAAAACCTATACAAAAATTTCATTATCCGATAATTTCATTTTGTACATGCCAAAATAAAAAAATTCGTTAAGTTGTAAAGATCGAACTGATCGAATTATAAGTTGAATTCCTCATTAAATACCGATGATGGCAACGTAACCGATAACTCGATACATTAAGTTTGAAATTTTTTTGGCTAAAAATATTATTTGCAGGCTCCCATGCATGCCACAACTGGGGAGGCTTCAGAGCTTTGGCCCAAACACAGCAACGTGATCTTCCATTCTCAAATGAAAACTTCATTTGGAAAGAATTAAATCCAACAAATAATTTAATAGAAGTGAATGCCCTGCTGAAAATATCCTGTCTTGAAAATTTTGATACAAGTAAAGAATTAATTCATTTTTGTATGAAAATCCCAATGAATCACTTCAGTTGTTTATCGTATAATATTGATTTATTTGACTTATTGACGTCGGTTTCAAAAATGTTATAGTCGTAATAGAAAAAATTGATTTTTACGTAATATTTTCATTAAAAATTTACTTATTGCAATCTAACGAAAATACATTTTATACGAACTCGAGTCATTTGAGTATTCTAATTTAGTATTTGCTTGAACGTTGTGAATCATGCTGTTCAGTAAAGTTTAACTGTTTGTGCTTTAAATTTATACTTAATGCGCGTCAATTGACGTTGAAATATCACGTCTGGTCTTACTTTAACATTTTTACTCTAGCATTCAAGATAGTGCTGTAAGTAACTCGGTATCATTGATTGAATTCGAACCGGACCACATTCCACTCTTGAAGACTAGGGAATTTAATGTAACTAACTGACAAAGCGGACAAAGACAATTAAACGAAACTCCTTCAAACAATATTGAGGTACGATAACAAATGTTTGTTACCACTTGACTTAGGTTATTATGAAAGTTGTCTGTTCACTCGCTGTCTCCACACAAACGAACCATGTTCGTACGACCCAAGATATGACAAGTTCTCCTGCATTACGCCAGAAAAAAATTCAACAAGTGGTTAGAACAATTAAAAATTGATTATAGTTGATAAAAATAATTGAATTTTAAATTATATATAATTTAATGACGAAATTTTTTGTTTTTTTGAAGTTTTCTAAAAATTTATTACGAAATATACTGCGGTTACTCAAACATAAACTTAAGTTGCGGTCTACATTATTTAACGTAGCTCGCGTAATACTCACACACAAAAGCGTACATAACACAACGTTCAGGTGAGTCGTTGAAGTCATCTCAATTGGCAGATCGCAACATCTCGGTCTTGGTGGTGGTCGTCGTCGAATGCCTTCTTTTGATGGCCTTGCTGGCAGTTGTGGTGACATGCCTCTACAGAGTTAGCCCCATATTTGCAGCATTACGATCCTATTTTTCTCCTTTTGAATTTAGTTAAATTTGATGAAAACGATTATAAAATAATTTATCACTCAACTGCATATTTTGTATCCGACCAGGTCCATAAGATGAGAAGTGAAACCGGTTACAACATCTTGAGAAACTTTGACAGTCAACCTCCGTATTATACAAAATTATAACATCATTCCACGATTTTATTGCCAGCTTCGTTTTTATATAACGACAAGAGACGTACATTTAATAAGACATTAATAAACTAATCAAATGATATTTTGCTCGTTACATCAATTTCATAGCTGTCCAGTATTAATTTGAAGAACTTCATCACAATCAGCTCCTGTAGTCGTGCTAGCTATAATCGCGCAATAAACTATGAATATTTCTGAATGTTTTTGTGATTTTATGAAATTTAAACTTTATAACCACGATTAACTAAAAACTTTGTTTTTAGTTACATAAATTAAACTTGTCCATGCAAATTAGTTTTTATTAATTTTGAGATTAAAATAATCATTCGAAGTATAAAAATTGCAACAAAAATAACTACAAAGAATTCATAAGTAAATGTAGAAAGATTATTATGAGCCTATGGTTAATATGATTAGTACAAAATATTTTCATGAAATAGTTAACACACTTGATAATGTTCTAATAAAAAAACTTTCTAACAAATATATAAATAACTAAACAAACAATCGAATGAATAAATAAACAGCAAATAAATAAATAATAGTAATATGCGATCTTTAAGAAAGTAGATAATTGCAATTATGAAGATGAAAATCAGGAAAGAAGAACTCGACAATCACCATTTATAATAACGAACAGGCAGTACATATATATATTGTTATATATACATACTTACACATATTTTATACAAGAGCGGGTGATATCCTTGATCCTCAGCCAATCGCTCACACACACACACACGTATATATATATATATATATATATATATATATATATATATATATATATATATATATATATATATATATATATATACTATATATCATTTAATTTAATTTTTTATATTTGAAATTTGAATAAAAAACACAATATATTTCAATGATCGGCGATTTCTTAAAATAGTTATTTTCAAAGTAAGAAAAAATGTAATTATTTTAAAAAGTTAATAAAAAAAAAGAAGGGATATATATATATAATATTCAACTGTTATCAATATTACGTGTACATATTACTACAATTATTTAAATACATACAGGCATAATAAATAAATACATATAGATTAATTTACATTTAAGAGTGTAAAAAAGAAAAGAAGAAAAATTTACAATACATTTAACATATCGGAAATATATAAATTATCTTTAGGCATAAATAATATGAGCTAACATTTCTTTTATAACCACTTCTGACAATTATGACAGTTCAAAAAAATTTGAAAAATAATCACCAAAACTGATGTTAATACGTTTAGTTACGTAATACAAAATCATGAACAATCTGTTGTTAAATTAATAGATAATTTTAATTAAATGTTTGTAGGCTAGCACACGGTATCAAACTAGCTTGTTTACATTTAATACAACCATTGCTTCTGAGGACAAACTTTACGTTCTAATGGCAATCACTACATCACTCCAAGATTCACAATTGGACACGCTAGAAAATATTAAATTACTGATACACTATATATATATATATATATATATATATATATATACATATATTCTAAATGTATCGTTTATGAAACTTAACGAAGAAATTAATGTCTGCAATCATTTTAAGACGTGACACAGCATAACGTAAGAGATTGTTGGTGATGGTTAGAAATCATTATTGGTTGGAAAGCCAAGGTGAAAGAAGCGAGGCGTGTTGGAAAGTAAGATTCAACACTGGATCCAATCAGTAAATAACGTAAAAGTAGCAAAATTAAGTAATCAAATTAAAATGCCAAAAAGTGATTACCAAAGCATCTGTTAAGCGGATGGACTTGGAGTATATTTATCAAATTTTGCAAGAGTATAAGTAAAGTCAGAATGCAGTTAAGGAAGGATCTAGGATAGGTTTGCGTTTATCGTTCGTTATATACTGTATTTAAATATAAATATATATATATATATATATATATATATATATATATATATATATATATATATATGGAAAAATTGTGATAATTTCATATAGGTATTTTTTCTAAATAATAATAATAATGGCAATAATGGATGGTCATATTTTTCAGTATATAAAAATATATATATATATATATAATTATTAATAGAAATCACAGCACGTTCCGCGTTAGTTAGCTCCTTGTTAACTTACGAGAAACATGCTGTGATTTTCATCAATAATTGCATTTCTGACAGTCTTAATCCAATATATATATATATATTCGTTTTGCCTCTAATTCCCAAACAAAACCGTGCTCAGCATATATATATATATATATATATATATATATATATATATCTCACACACACATACACACATATATATATAGCTAAAAATTATATATACCTAATTATATATATACATAGTAATTATATATTACTATATATTTAGATGATAATTAATAATTCACAGATTTATTGATATAAATAGATATAGTTTTTATCCATTTATTATATTTTTACGAATTTATCAATCTTGTTTGTGTTGATTAAAAATTAAAAACTATACATAACATTATATACACACGCATATATATATATATATATATATATATTCCTCCCTTCAATTTAAAAGTGAAATGACATATGATACGAAATATTATTATTACTATTATTATAATAAGATGTTATGCTACATACGACCATGTCCTATTCAAAATAACAATAAAAATAATAATAATAATAAGAGCACGAAAAAATACAACATAACATAATAGTCAATTTCATAATATGAAAAATTTATACAAGAAATATTAAACATATAACATAGTAATCATTCGTATAAAGGTTCAATAATAATTAAATGTAATAAGTCCTATATAAAAATTGGTAAAAATATGAAGAAAAAAAAATATCACAATAAATTAATTTTAAATAACTGTCTTCTTGTCTAATTACACGTACAAACATTCACTAATTGAATTGACAAAAAAAATATATATGTATATATATATATATATATGTATATACATATATATATCTACATGACTCAAATTTATTAAGCATATAAAAATAACTTATCACAATTCTTGCATTATTATATTAATATGTATTTATAGGTTCTTCTATAGAATCATCTGGAATTAAAATAATTTTTATATACTAAAAATCCAACGTTACGATTATTTATTATTGATAAGAATAATAGCCGACACAACAAACACATCGAAACAGTCCAAAAAAAGTAATGAAATAAAAACTAAATCGGAAAATAATAAAAAGATGAAATAACAAACCGAAAAAATAAAATAAAAAAATAAATAAACTAAAAATACTTATTATATAAAATATGATTAAATTAACTTTAATAATGGCACACAAATTATAACAGAAATAATTTTCCATATAGACTTAGATTGAATTTTCAGTGATTATCATTTGCTGTAAAAAAAACCTACCTACTCGAACGCACACACACACAAACACACACGCACACAAATATATACATTATGCACATTTAAACATACACATTTGCACAATTATTTGCATATACATATACCCGATGTATATGCAATTAATAAAACTACTATAAACAACAAAAACTAATACAATACTAAGGTAAATATACAGCCCAAATGATATATATATATATATACATATATATAGATATATATATAATCATAATATATAAATTTGAACTTACCGTACCGGTTTTCTATACATAAGCTCACTTTTAGTGTGACAAATTATTATTTATAATACAATAATTGATAGATGATAAGAGCAATTATACAGTGTGTACATCATTAATGATTCAACGGTCTACACACACACACACACACACACACACACGCCCATCAATAATAATTCAGTCAATATTAAACAAACAACCGTACACTTGAATTTATTACAACATTATTTTAATGAGAAAAAACTTTAAAAAAAATCAAATTACGTTTTTTTAATAAAACTATTTGTAAAAAAATAAAAAAAAGATATTAAACAAAAATAATCATGCCCACAAAGGTATCATTTTGCATTAAATTGAAGCAGGAATATATATATATATATATATATATATATATATATATATATATATATATATATATATATAGGTTTTATATATATTATATATATATATAGGTTTTCAGTAAATGACAGGATTAAATTAAAAAAGTACCCGGCATGAATATTCATAGGCATGCAATGTTCGATTGAAGAGGTCTTTATAAGAAGATGAATTAATTAAATTCTCAACAATTCATACTGAGAAAAACGATTACAACAGTTGCTTATATATATATATATATATATATATATATATATATATATATATATATGCAAACATTCAACATCTCAAATTACCATAGGGAAAGAAACGTTACAAAATTATCTAAAATAAATGTCTGTTTAATTGAAGATTTAAGAAACATACATTAGCATTTACACATATTGATCAACCGATTGAAATGAATGAATGGATAGAGAGAGAGAGAGGTTCATGTTTCATATAAAGCATCAAGAACTACAAGAATTGCATTGCAGAAACTGAAAGCTAGTATGTAAAGTATTGAAATGGAGGGGATGGTGCACTCATTGCATGTTCATCTGAAATGCATTAAATAAAGAAAAAACTAATTAATTTATTTATTAAACTGATGTTAAATCTATTATGCTATTAAATAATTTATTATTTAAAGCAGGTAACATTTAACAGCAGTCTACGAAAAATTCTGGTAGTTTTAGTGAAAGAAAAGTAAATATTTAATAAAATATTTAACAAAAAAATTAATTAAAAAAAAACCTCACAGGAAAAAAAGATGAACGCAAGACCCAAAATTCAACATGATTACACTCCATAATGCGTGGCCAGTCGTTCTCTCAATGGAGGTGGAAACTGATCTGAAAATCTCTTCCAATTTTCATCACCAACTTGATTTTTGAACCCATGCAGTATCTGTGGAATGTCGTTTTGATTAACGAATTAAATTAAGATCTCATGTTTACAACAACATATCGCAGCAAGATGCACATCTATAACTTAATTTAATCAAAACAGCAGGGCACACACAAATGAAAGGCATATGCATATAAATTATATTAAGGTATCACATGAAATTAGAAAAATATGGACCTTGAAAAACATCTCCTTCATGTCCTCTTTTGGATTGACCCAAGAGGCAACTGCATCGCAGAAAAAGATGAAATCCTGTACAACTCCCGACGGATTCAAGTTGATCATGGCACAAACTCCTCGAAATGATGAATCTTTCTCATCATTATCCCTTATATTCCTTAATGAACTGCACCTAGCGAAGCAAACCATCATGGAAGTTTTATTTGAAATAATTGATACAATAATCTCATTCATTGAAAAATAATTTCAGTAAAGAAGTGAATAACAAAGTTTATTTTGGATAGAAACAATGAAACACAAGCAACATTGCCCAAACAAACTCCCTAAAAGAGTTCGATCTGCAGTGCAATGGCGGAATACTAGCATATTATAGAATTAAATAATGGGTAAATCTTGCTTGTGCAATAAAGTAAATGTAATGTCAAGTGTAAATCTATTTTGCAGATAAGAAATAAGCATTCAGTGTACATAACTTATTATTGTAGATACTCAGATGAACATTTAAACAAATATGAACGAGATAGCATAAAGAAAGCAAGCAGTAGGTAACCAACCATGGCCTGATGAATTGTTGAAGGGCAGGAGCGACAACATCGGGACAGACAAGGCCGAGCCGACCTATTGTTATGGCTGCAACAAAAGTTGAATAAAATAAATTAAATTAAACCAATTGCATGCTATTGCATATTCAAGCATTCATTTATATCTACAAATAAGCTAGCTATTTACCAGTATTTTCAAGAAGCGTTTTTGTAGTGTTAGGTCTGTTGATGATAGCGATCAGTCTATCCAGGACAAGTGGTATGTAAGGCCTCATCTCCTCACCTACATGATCAACGATATAAGCAACTTTATTCACAGTACAAAAATAATTTTTTACCCATTTATCTATTATTTACAGTAAACACAAAAGTCAATCATTAATTAACAACTGTACAAATATTAACTACAATTAAATTATTGTTGTAATTGAATGTCTAATCACAATAAACAAAAGAAAATGTGTAAAAATTGACATAAATAAAAATAATTTTCAAAACCAACCAGTTTTTATAGATATCTCGCCAATAGCCCAGGTGGCATTATTGCAAACTGATATGAATTCAGGGTTGAGATTATTGCCTAATATAGGCATAATTTCACCTGAAAAACAATTTGATACAAATATTTAAAGGTCATCATGACTATAAAAATGGACAAACGACTGAATATAATGAAAACATGAAAAAAAAGTTTACATTCAAATTAGAGCAACACCTTGCGATACAGAATGGAAACTGACAACTAACTATTCAATGGTAAAGCTTAGAAGTTTACATAACAAATGTGCACACACATAACGAGCATAAATACATCAGCAAAACATTCAAAAATATGTACTTGTAAATATGTACCATAACTATAAAGAGTAAACAAATATGCTGTTGAGTTCAATTTATTAAAAAACAGCAATTTCACTGAACATGAAATATCATTATAAATAATAACAGGGTGATGATCAACCACGATACAGTAAAACACAAACAACGTCACCAACTGACAGTTTGACAAACACACTTTATAAATAACTCAAAAATTAAAAATAATAATAGCATAATTGGCTTGAAAGAAGCAACGGATATGTGTATTAAATGAACTAACCTATGAACGGTTTAACATGAGAATAGCATGCCTTTGTAAGATCTCCAAGAAGAGCAAACGAACTTTGACGAACTTCAGGTAAGGAATCCTGATTTTGTATTAATTAATTAATTAATTAATTGATTAGTTCATTCCAATAATAAAACTAAAAAGTAATTGATAAAAATTGCAAACAAATTAAAAATATCAAAATTGAGATATTTCAATTTCTCAAATGAATTTTTAAGTTCCATGTTAGACATAGCATGACACCAGTTAATAATAATAATGTAGCAGTGATAAATAAACAAATTGGAAATAAGAGAATTTGCTGGAAATGTAAATGTGAAGAAAGAATGCAGAGGATATATAAAATAATAAATAATAGGCATGTGTGCAATGTCTGCTATTCACTTTTTATCTGTATATTATTCTTGGCTTAATGAAAACAAATACAAGTAACATGAATCATGTTGCACTTCAACAACAAATCACTCGAAAATACAAAAATTTTGAGACACAATTTGCAAGACTGATTGTAAAATTTTGTAGAAATATAATTATTGCTAAAAATTGGACCATCAAATTTTTGAAAATGTAAATAATTCACTAGAAAAAAATTTTTTTAAATAATTGAGCAACTAAAAAGGCCCAAAAAATTGAATGAATGAACGATAAAAAAAGAAATGAATGAATGAACGCATGGCAAATGAGAATATTAACTTATGCCTTATCAGAAACAAAGACAGAAGATGCATCATCACTAAATAAAATCATCATTGCTACTCAATGACAACTCTGATTAGGAGTAAGTAGACTGCTACATCTAAGGATGACAACAATGTTGGCCAACAACATTTTGTAATACACAACAGAATTGTTTGCAAAAAACAACCACCATTTTTAACAGCATAAACTCATATTTACAAAAATGTATAGACAAAAAAAACCAATTAGTAAATAATATAAAGTAACAATTGAAAAGCATCACATAATGGCAGCTAACTAACCTGCATGCATTGGTACAACAACTTGAGCAAGCTACTACTTGATGCCAGGCCTGCAAGTAATTTAATCAATGTTTTTGGCATTATCAGATCATAAAAATTATAAACAATTATCTTGGAAAATAAGTTAACTCAGAGCATAAAATGCAATAATTATCTACTGAATAAAATTTATTAAAGTAAAAACCAGCAGATGAACATACATCTTCTAAGGAAAAAAAACGAGAAATGTTTTTATCTTAGGTGCAGATAAATTGAAACATCCTTCAATTGAACTAGTCACATACATTACGGAAAACAGAAACATCTTAAAACAGTCACTCAGCACTGTATCATAATGATCATAAATCAACTCATCACTCATCATCGAAATGATCAGCAATAAAAATACCTTGAGCACCAGAAGACCAACCTTCGATGTGCTGCTCCAAGCCCTCGGCAAGACCACTCAGTAAGTCCAATGCAACTATCATGAAATCCTTATCAGGAGCCTCAAACTGATCGGGATTTCTTTGATGGGCCTGACAGACGGGACCGGACAAGAAATAGAAATAGTGAACAAATTGACCGTTTTTAGCAAAATGAATGAAAATATTATATTACTTAACCACCGGACACGTGTACTCTCCTACAGCTATATCGATAACTAGAGCATTATTTGATATTAGACAAGTTCATAAAATGAGATATGTGAATGAAAAATAGAGAAGAGGTACAAACATAATGCTGGTTGAGAGTCTGTTCGATGAGAGAAACGCATCTTCTAAAGACTGGCTCACAATAAGGAAGAAATCCAGATTGCAATGCAGTTGCCACACTTGAAAGACACTGTAATCAGATGATATTTCATTATAAGGTTAGCAGAAATATTTGTAAATTTAAATCTTTCACACCAAGTTTTAACCATGAACATAAAATCCAACAATAAATGAAAAATTAACTTGAAATATTATTTTGAAATTTACTTGAATGTTAATCTAACAAAATGTTATTCAATTTCCATTATAAACTTGTTGAGCAACAGCAAGAGCAATAATATCAGAAGTAACAAAAACAAAAAATATGCAAATCAAACAAACCTCAAGAAGTGGAAAAAGATCCTTATCAGTATCTTTGAGCATATTCCATTTGTCAATAAGTGGAGGCATGAGCAGACTTATGTACTCCTGTATATGGTGATTTTCCCAATAAATTATTACATCCCTAATAATTTCTTTAAATGAATAACTGAAACATTTTGACAGGTTGCCTACACGACTTCAAGTTTTTCTTGAACAAGAATAAAACATGAATAAAACAAAAATTGAAAAATCCACCAACTGGTTTATTGAGATGATGACCAACAGAATCAGCTAATGTCCCAATGGCATCATATAAAATCAATAAATTCTTGTGCTGTTAAAAATTAAATTTTTGTGCTGTTAAAAATTATTTGAATTAATTTTAAACCTAAAAAATAAAAATTTTATAATAACCAACCTGGTACTTGCGAAAAGCATAGACAAGTGTCTCTAGGATAAAGCCGAGATAAGGAACAAGTTCAGTACAGGCTTCCTCCTCTAATGTGGCAAATGCTGAACATGCAGCTTCTTGAACCCTCTTGTTCGCATCCAAAATACGTTTCAACAGCTGACCATGCCAATGAGAAAAATTAAATAAATATGGTTTTGAAAAAGATATTTATAAACCTAAGTTATAAAAAAAACTTGTTTGAGTATCCAAAATTGGCCATCAAAATTGAACAGGTGGTGTAACATGAATATTTTTATTTTATTACAATAGTGAAACAACGTTCATGTGAATTAGGAAAATAAGCACCTCAGTCATCAGTGGTTTCAGATAGAGCTCATGTGGCTGGCCAACTACCCAGTGTGCATATCTACTCAATGTCCAGCATGTTATTGATCTTACGAGAGATTTCTTCTCCGATAAACAGGTCACCAAATATGGCACCAGCTCAGGTAAATGCACCACCATCCCACTCATGCATCCTTTAGGTAAAAAAAAACATACTGAATTCAAGTTGAACAGAATAAAAGGTATCTAAACTTCAGCGTCAAATATGTGACATGATAGAAAATAGCATAAAAGCAAGTAATAAAATTAATTCAACAGGACACCTTCTGCAATAGCTCCCAACACCAATATGCCTGATTCCTTCAACTCCCAATCCTGGTGAAAGAGCAGATCTTTGAGAATGGGCAAGACAATTGGAAGGATATCATCATGAAATACATTAGCCAGAACATCCAAGGCTGCAGCTGAGCACTTTCCTTTTAAATTTAAAGCAACAAAATTTGAATCAAAACAATTTACAAATGTGTATGTAATATGTTTAAGTCATTTCATCTTGATAATCAATTTTTAAACAATGATGTTGACCAAGTTTTTGAAAATTTTAAATTCCGTTATAATTACTTAAATTCCAATCTGAGAGGGCATCGTCATCTAATGAATCATCATCGTCATCACCTTCCTAAAAACAAAATTTTGTAACAAGTTTGAGTATAAAACTTTCATGAAGCTAAAAATTACTTAATTTGATAGAAACATTGAGATATTTTCAGTGTGGTAATCATTATGACAAAGTATTTTTCAATTGAAGCCAAGCAGGATGAAAAGTTGATAATTTTATGGGCTGCAATCCAATTATGGTTATGACAATGCCCTGGTTATGACAATGTCCTGGTTATGACATTAAACTGACCCTCACTGCCTTGTGAGTGATGTTGGATCATCAAAGGCTAGGCCCACCGCTTATAACTGTGGTTGCGTAAGGAAGGGCGTCCTGTATAAAAACTAGCCAAAAAATAATACTTATGATGACGGAAATAACAATGGCCCTCAGTATCCGGCAGAAGAGGGTGCGAAGAATCTCCGGAGACCCAGTCCATGAGGTTGTGGTGCAAGGCCCTGTGGATGGTCTGGCTACTGGCACCCCACTCTATAGTGTGGCGGTGCAAGGCACTATAGATGGAAGGACTACTTGTAGACCAAGGGGTTGGAGGTTTGGTACCTGGAATGTAGGCACGTTGACATGAAGAAGTTTGGAAGTGGTGGAGGAGTTGCAGAGGAGAATGGTTGACGTGGCTGCATTACAGGAGATCAGATGGAAGGGTGAGGGTACAAGGTTTGTGGAGGCTAAAGGTGGAAGATATAAGTTGTGGTGGAAGGGGGATGATGGTACGGGAGGAGTTGGTGTGATGGTAAGAGAAGAGTTGGTGGAAAAGGTGTTGGAAGTGAGGCGGAGAAGCAATGGTGTAATTGTGGTGGTGATGGTGTTTGGAAAAGTAATAGTGAGGGTGATATCAGGATATGCTCCGCAACAAAGTAGGAAGGAAGAGGAGAAGGATAGGTTTTATGATGATGTTTCTGACGAGATTGGGCAAGCGGGGTTGGAGGAATTTGTGGTGTTGTTGGGTGATTTGAATGGTCATGTGGGGGGCGGATGCAGACGGATATGAAGATGTACATGGGGGATGGGGATATGGTATACGGAATGAGGAAGGGCGTAGAGTGTTGGAGTTGGCGGATGCACATAGCATGGTGGTGGGGAATACCTGGTTTACAAGGGAACCAGCGCAATTGATTACATATAGGCCAGGGGAGCATAGGTCGATGATAGACTATATATTGGTAAGGGCCAAACATAGGAAGTATGTGAAGAATGTGAAGGCGATACCTGGTATGCTGCAGCATGGTATGGTTGTGATGGATGTGACATCAAAAGAAATGGGGAGGAGGAAAAAGGATAAGTTTGTGACAAAGAGAAAGACATGGAAGTTGCAGGATGCAGAGGTGAGGAAGGCATTTGAAGTGAAGGTGGCTGAAAATTGGGAGAGTGGTAAGGATGGAGATGTTTGGGAGAGATACAGGGACTGTGTGTTGGCAACGGCAGATAAAGTATGTGGATGGACGAAAGGAAAGTGTAGGCATGGTGAGACGTGGTGGTGGGATGAAGATATAAGAAGGGTTTTGGAGGTCAAGAAGGAGAGGTTTAGGGTATGGAGAAGGGACATGACGGAGGAAGCGGAGTTTGAATATAGGAAGGCTAAGAAGGTTGCAAAACAGGCAGTGGCAATTGCAATGACGAAAGCATCAGATAGGTTAATGAAGGAAATGGAATTTGATGTGAGTTCGAGGAAAATGTTCAAAGTAGCAAAGCAGTCAATGAGGGATAGGAAAGATGTTATAGGGAATGGATGTGTTTGGGATGGATCTGGCAAGTTGTGCATAGATGAGGAGGAAAAAGCTCAGGTGTGGAAAGCTCATATGGAAAGGTTGATGAATGAAGAGAATGAGTGGGATGGAGATGTGGAATCTGCGGTCACACACGGACCTAGAGAAGGTGACGATGGAGGAAGTAGAGAAAGCAGTTAGAGAAATGAAACTAGGTAAGGCGACAGGGGTTTCGGAAGTGGCGACAGAACATATAAAAGCGAGTGGAGTGATAGGAATTGAAGTTATGATGAGAATTGCTAACAGTATGTTTGATGATGAAGGTATACCTGAGGATTGGCAACACAGTGTGTTGGTGCCGTTGTATAAGGGCAAAGGAGATGTGAGAGATTGTGGGTCATATAGGGGTGTGAAATTGCTAGAGCACAGAATGAAGGTAGTGGAGAGGGTGCTTGAGAGGAGGTTGAGAAATATGGTGACAGTTAATGAAATGCAGTGAGGGTTTATGCCTGGTAGGGAAACGGTGGATGCGTTGTTCATGGTGAGAATGTTGCAGGAGAATTATAGAAAGAAGAAACGAAGATTGTACATGTGTTTTGTGGATCTAGAAAAGGCTTTTGATCGAGTACCGAAAAAGGTCATTGAATGGGCGTTGAGGAAGAAAGGAGTGAATGAGAGACTTGTTAAAGCTGTGATGCAGCTGTATGAAGGGGCAAAGACAAAGGTGAGGGTTGGAAGGGGGATGTCGGACGCTTTTAGTGTTAAGGTAGGAGTGCATCAAGGATCAGTGTTATCACCGTTTCTGTTTGCAATTGTGATGGATGTTGTGTGTGGAAACATAATGGAGGGGTTGTTATTTGAGATTTTGTATGCAGATGATTTAGTCTTGATGGCTAATAGCATGGAAGAATTGCGGTTAAAATTTGACAGATGGAAAAGTGTTATTGAAAAGAAAGGCTTAAAAGTTAATATTGGTAAGACGAAGGTAATGGTGAGTGGGAAAGGTGGGAAGCGAGTGATAAGTAAAATAGGCCCCTGTGGGGTATGTGACAGGAGAGTGAAGGCTAACTCGGTATTGTGTATAGGATGTCAGAAATGGGTGCATAAGAGATGTAGTGGTGTGAGGGGGGCACTGAAAAAGGTGGAAGGCACGTTCAAATGTAAGAAATGTGTTCATGGTGTGATTAATAGGACGGACGCAAGGACGGGGTTGAGTGGTGGTATTGAAAGAGTGGAAAGCTTTGTTTACTTAGGGGATAAGCTGAACGCGGATGGAGGATGTTTGAATGCAGTTACGGCTAGAGTTCGTGTAGGATGGATGAAATTCAGGGAACTGGGTGGGGTATTGTGAGAAAAGAAATGGTCAGTGAAGATGAAAGAGAGGGTATATAAAGCATGTGTGAGAGCAGCGATGGTATATGGTGGTGAAACTTGGGTGTTGAGGAGAGAGGAGGAAAGTGTACTGCAGAGGGCTGAAAGAGCTATGGTGAGGATGATGTGTGGGGTTAAAGTGAAGGATAGGAGGAGTAGTACAGAGCTGATGTCAATGATGGGACTGAATGAGGACATTGTGATATTGATAAGGAGATCGAGATTGCGATGGTATGGACATGTGTTGAGAAGAGATGAAAGAGTCAGGATTAGGCGAGCGTTGGAGTTCGAGGTTGAAGGAGTGGTAGGAAGGGGTCGTCCGCGATTGGGATGGAGAGAGCAGGTGGAGAAGGACAGGGTGAAAGCTGGGTTGCGTGATACTGAGGCGAGTGACAGATGTGGATGGCGTCGAGGGGTATTTCGGTTTCACCATAGGTAGCCAAACGGCAACCTCCGATCTCAAGGAAAATGTCGTCTAAACGTGTGTTGTTTGCAATCCAATTAAAATAATGACATAATATCATGCTTATAATTACACATCAACATGAGTTAGCAAGAAGTATGACAGTAATGTTACCTCCTCTCCAAACTTTCCAAGACTGTGTCGTCTCGATCGATGGAATCTTGGTTTGATGTCACATTCCTTGTCTGGTACGGTCTCGTCATCCTCAACATCTCCCTGAAAACGATATCATTTAGTATCAGTTTAAAATATTATTCATTACCATCCTTATAAAAAAGCATGATTTGCTTTTAAAAAATCATTTAAACATTTAATTAACTATAACCATATGTTACTAAGGCGATTTCAGAGACTTAAAAATATAATTTTATAATGTTAAAAAACCCAACTGAACACTAACAAAAGAGAACCAATAAAAATATTCAAGAACTACATACCTATTTCATAATAAATCCAACATTGAAAAAATATAGCCAACCTTCAGTAGGATGATGTCGATTTCAGAGTACTTCATGCCCTTAATAAGGACTGGCACTAGCCTTGATATATGGCCGACAAGTACTTCCTTGCAGATTGGTTGTTCTGCTAATGAGAGCCAGAACTCACACGCCTCCAGAGCAACTGAGCCATCAGGATCTTGAGTCCTTATCAGCATGTACTGTTCACAGATGTGCAAAACATATCAATTTCATTATATAATTAGAAAATAATATAATAATGAAGTAAATAGTGAGATAAGAAATGAAATACTTGTTCACCAGCTTACCTCCACAAGGCTCGTGATGTGTGGAATTAGTCGGTCCATTCGTACCTCCACCAGCATGACCAATGCACGACAAACATTCTTCCTCACCTCAGGATCGTCATCAGTTGATAGGAAAAACAGATTCTAAAAAATGGAAACAAAAAGTAGCAAGTTATGGAGAACTGCAGAACATAAACAAACAGCAATAAATAAATATAAAACACCTCAATGAAGCTATCAATATGGTACATCAAAGCTTCTGTTCTACCAATGATAAACTGATTAACACAAGCTATGGCATGCGACCTGAAAGAAAAGTTCATATAAATATAAAATATTCATCAATTTATTCTTATATTTTAAAGTATTATTTTATGTCAAACATTTGCATACACGTTGAAAACTATTTACAATGTTAACAACTAATATCAACAAAAACAAATTTGTTAAAAAATTAAACTGAACCTTATTTTAGGACTGTTGTGTTTGAAGAATTGCAAAAATTTTGGTATAAGAACATTCAACGGCTTGTTTAATACCTCACTGTCTAACAATTCAGCAGAGTCTTCACAAATTTTTTGCAAGGCACCAAAGGCACCCTAATTTGTAAAAAAAATAATTAGAATTAGTAAAACCTGAACATGTATTTTTTATTTGTTGAATACTCAGAATTTTGTTGAATACTTAAATTTAAATATCTATGTTATTTACAATGTTTTCGACATTTCCAAAATTAATAATAGACACAGAGTAGGATGTCTATAGTTGATAAAAAGTGAGGTCACAAAAGTCTATCTACAGCCCAAACCAAATTTAGATGAATAGTTTTTTATCGTTAATCAATAACAGAAGGGTGGTTATAACACTTAATGATAACAATCTAGTTAGCTTTTAAATAAGGTCAGAACAAATAATAAACGAAGTACATCATCATATATGAGCTTCAACTATAAACCTAAGTAAAATCTTAAAAGTACAAAATTTATCTAACAAGTATGTACTCGGCCCACAATATATATATATATATATATATATAGATGTAGTTTCTTATTATATAATGTTATATAACAAAAAAGGTCATAAATAAAAGAATTAAAGGTTAAAACTTACTTCACAGACATTATAGTCCTCTGAATCTAAACATTGACACAAGCATGGCAAAAGATCTGGCCAATTTTCTAGGCCTCCCTTTGCTACGATTGTAGTAACTAATATGCCAATTGTTGCCCTGATCAGAGGAGATGGATCTCCAATACTGCCTAAACATTCTTGTTTGATAAAGGTCGTTACCGGTATGGGAAACTTTTCATAATGAGTTCTAATGTTGTTTTTCAATATCAAACCGCTGAGTGATCTAGTAGGCTCGTCTGATAAATATTACATGTTGGACAATAGAAATTTAAATCAAATTTTCAACAATTTAAAGTTTTTAGATTATTTTTAAACCTTCACTAGTTAGTTTAGTCAATACATAGATCAAATAATTGTTGAAATCAGGATAAGTATTCAATTCTTCTAATTTCTGTTTTAAGGATAAATGATGATAATAAGGATTTTTAATCAGTTATCTAAAAAATCTAATAATCTTGTTTGGTAATAATAATTAAAAAAATATAAAAATAAAATATTAATTAAATTAACTTTGTTAAATGTAATGGACAACAGTTAACGATTTCGATCAAATTAAAATTGAATTTCAGTCAGATCAGTCATCACCAACATATCACTCCATTATTAAATTATGCATGCCGCTAGTAAATATATCGAAATAAAATTAAAATAAAATATAAACGCACCTGTTGAACAGTTCGTTGAGTGCTGTTGTCTGGGGATTGAGATTCCCTCAACAATTGGAGTATTTGTTGTAATCCTACGTCTTCGGGATGCCAAACGTTGCCGGCCATTTTGCTTCGAATGAAATACAAAAATGCCAAAGAAGTATATAACAGGAACTGAATCACACACATACAAAAATTTCAGAATCTTTGCTTTTTTTAACAGGCATAGCACAATAAAAGCCGTTTAAGCTCATTTTATATCAAACAAAATTTCTAAACGATAATAAAACATTAAATGTTCAACAAAAAAATTTTAACTTTAAAGGTGAGCCAAATTTTTCAAAATGTGATGAAACGCCATTAAACAAGAAATCAATCAATTCTATATTCTACCGATTGCGATAAATTTATATGCAGCCCATACCATGAATTTCCATTACAAAATTATACATTTCATGCTCAGGAGATTTAGTACTACATGAATTAAGTAAAAAACTACCAGCTTTATTAGATAAATCAGCGCCACATTCTAAAAAATGTCGAACTATTATTATCGGTTGATTCAAGATGCAATAATACAATATATCAAAAACATAGGAATTCCATTACTAAAATACATTTTTATGCTTCAGAAATTACAGAGTTAACGAATGTGCAATTCAATGTTATATTTGCATTTTCTTATATTGATTTTCTAGGAGACTTGTGGTGCCCCCAAACGCTTGGTGCCATAGGCACGTGCCTTGTTTGCTTAATGGTTAATCCAAGCCTGGCTTTATTTTTTTTTATTATAAAATATTTGATGTGAAAAATAATCTGAAAATTTATTTTTTTTTTATAATAATTTTTATTATATTTATATGTGTACTGTACATATATTGTTATATGAATGTGCTCAAATGCATATACTTAGAATAACCAGTGACGACATATCTGGTCCCTAAACATTTGACTTTTATACGGAGCATCACTGAAAATTAATAGCTGTACATAATGCGCAAGTACAACAATGCGAATGCTTGGAGAGCATTTTGTATTTTGAAATGTTATGGACGGTGTGCGTCTGATCAATTCGCTCTTCAAATTTCATCAAATTTTCTTATTTGTTTTATGTTTCAACAAATTATTGACTGAATAATTACTTGCATTGAAGGAATTTTATTTGTGCAAAGTTTGATTTTTGAAATAAAGTTTAATTATTTTTTTCTTGATTTTTTTTTATTTGAAACTGGCTATTGAAAAAATAAAAATTATTCCTTGTAAAAAATCAGCAAAATGGCGAACCCACTAATCAATTAAAGATAAAAGTATCAATACGGATTTAGTTCCAGTTACTCTGGATTATTAAAGAAGAAAGGCTGGTAAGCTTTTTTCATTTTCATTTTTTTAATTAAAACAAGTTTTAATATTTTACCATTTACTTTATTTTATTAGTGACTAAAGTTTAGTCTACCTCTGCCTACCTACTGTAATTGTAATCTGTAATGTAATGTAATATTGTTCCGAATTGCTGAATCTGGGAATCCAACTAAACTCAAGGAAGCATTCAGATAGTTTAGATTAAAAGCCAGCTTTCATCTTTGTAGCTTGTTTATATCTCTTTCTAACCATAATAAGTGAAAGTTATCAACTAAATTTAACAAATATAGATTTAGCATTTAGGAGACTAACAAACATTAATAATAATTTGTATGACTTTTTGAGTTTCTAACTATGTTTGGAAGTACTAAACCAGTTTGCAACAATATAAATATAAAAGTAAATAAATCTCTTTAATTAATACTCTGTTCTCATTATATTCTAAAGTTGAGGTTCTGGATTCATCATAGTAGTATTAAACAGGAAAAAAGTTTAACCATGTAAAACTAATAGCACGATGTGTATCAGAAAAATATGTGCATATTTTACATACAATGCAATCTTTTAAATGGAATGCAATCGCGTTAGTGACTAACGGTTAGTCAATGGAACTTTATAAAACTTTAACTTTATAGAATATAAGTGTACAGATTTTTGTTGGGACACCCTAAGCTGTCATCTACTGTCTGTTCTTATATTATTCATTCACATTACTTTATTTGAGAGTCTGATGAAGTACAAGTTTGGTCTCTAAATTAAATAATCAAAAAATAGAATCTGTGAAAGTAGTTTTTAATGTTCAGTGTTTGTAGGTTGTTATCAATAAATTCTGTTAAAAAAGCAGTTATTATGTTTTTTATTGTAAAGCTAGACAGTTAGATTCATGGCTTGCCTGGCACACTCCATTTTAGAATTGTATGTTATTGTCTGTCTTTCTACTAATACCATAATCATTATTTTCTAGGCCATTCTAAATAAAAAAAGTTTAATTCTATGATCATTTCATGATATATTTCCAACATTTATATCTTACATATTTATCCAGATAATTAGTGCAATTTATTTTATGGTAATGAGAAACTGTAGTTTTGAAATAATTTATTTGAACATCATCTTTTATATATATATTATTTTTAAATGAGTAGAGAGAAACACAGCAGTCGCAATGGTTCTAAGAAGAACTAATCAAACGGTTCTTCATAAGTTTCTAACATACCAGGTTCGGTATTACAGAAAGAGGTTGAATGTAGGGGTTAAAGTTTAAAAGGTTAAACTTTAGCCTGTAGCAAATATAGATCCCCCACTCTCCCATACTTTCAACTTAAAGGTATGGGGGAGTAGGGAATCTATATTTGTAAGAGATCTCATAAGCACTCACTTTTAAAATGATATTTATGAGCAGAAAGCTGGGCTAAGTAGCATAGCTAGGAATGACTAGGGTTGATATTATAATTAAAATTCTGAAGCCTACTGAATTTATAAAACTTTAAAATAAAATAGTTTTGTTTACATGGGAAATATGTTATTTAACATTTATTCTTGATCTCAATTAATCAGTTTTTAATTTATAAACTTTAAAATTAAAACTTGTTGAAATCTATTGTGTAGTTCATAGCATTTCAATCTTTTACCGCTAATCTATTAGCTGTTTCAAACTTTTGTTTATTCATTTTATTATTTTTATATAATTCATCTTTATAATTCAGTATTTTTTTATTAATTATTCTTAAATTAACATTTGCAGTTTGCTGTTAAACATTTTATTTACCAAATAATACTCATGTAGTTCCATATTTAATAATGGATGACTTGGCTATATCATTAAATTTGTTCACTTTTGTGTGTGTAATTATATTTTTTATTATTTAGTTCATTTGGCACAATGAATTTTTTCATCCTTGATTTACAGTGTATGTATATGCTTATTCTTGGCTTGCTTTGAAATAAGCAGATGTTTGTATTGTTTAAACTTCTGCCATAAAAGTTGCTCAGAAAATCATTTGAATTGAACTTGGTTGTTTCATTGTTTATAAATATGTTTGTGTGCATGTTTGTATGGATTAATAAATTTTAATTACAGTACTCACACATAAATGTGTAGTTAACATGATTTTGGAATGGTTGGAAATTTTTTTTATTCCTTCATTCAAGATCTGATTTTTAAAACTAATCAGTTATTTTTTCATGCCAATTCGAAATTTAATTTAAAATTTCATGGCACAGGATCACCCTGGTTTTCTTCTGACATGAGAATTGAAATATAGCATTAAGACAATATGCTATGGCTTAGGGTTAAAATATCCTGCTGAGTAGCATTGTCCCAAACTGATTAGTTGAAAAGAATTAATTTGTATTTATTTATAAATACAAGTTCTACTCTACTTGATCTAGAAATAGTCTGTATAACATGACTATAATAACGTTATTTTTATTTCATTATTCAATTTTAAATGTACAAATCATTGAAATTTAAAGTTACACTCAAATTATAATTTTATAAAATATACCCAAGTACTTTAAATATATATCTCTATATAATTTACCATTGAAAGCATTTGAACATTATCAATTTACATAGAAGATAAATTTTTCATTAATTTCAGGTTGTTTTGTGTGATGTATTCTTGCTCTTTCAATCATGGCTGACAATAGTGTTGTCAATGCAGACAAAGAATTAAGCGACCTGCTGGATTTCAGTGCTGTGAGTGTCTATTTGTTGTGGTTTTTTGTTTGTTTCTGTGTTTATTTCATTTTTTGTAATTTGTATGTTTGTTTTGTATTTGATTACTGTTTATTCTTGTTCCTGTTTGTAACTTTTGATCACAAACACTTACAACTATTTGTGCCCTAAACAACAAATGTATACCCATTCTCTCTCACTCACATACACAATCACACACACACAATCACACACACAATCACACACACACACATCTAAACATATGACCATATGTAATTCAATATACAATAAGCCTGGGCTTATCTTTTATGAGCCTATGTTGAAACATTCATTATTGCTGCAATGTAACTGTAATGAAAGATTGTTTATTTTATGTGGTGCAATTTTACCATGCATTATACAATATACTATGCTTACTGCTATGTATTTGTGTGTATGTGCATATATATCTGAAAATGTTTGCAATATTGGCTTATATTTTGCTAATCTCTGAAATCATTTATTGATATATTGATAATAGGTAATATAATTTTATTATTTTTTCTATTTGCATGTTAAAAGTGTGTATAATGTTAATGTTCTAAACTACCATCATGGAGAGAGAGAGAGAGAGACAGAGGGAGAGAGAAAGAGAAAGATAGCATAAGATTGCAGAGATGTTTGGATGGAATGAAAAGATATAATTGCATGTTGCATGCATGCATGCACTAATTTTCATTACTGTTTGTTTGTAAAGAATCATCCTGTTTGTTTGTTCCTGATTGGAAATAAGTTTTTAAAAAATTGTTACTTGCTTTTTTTGTTTTATTTTTCTAATCCAGTAATTCTTACCTTTGTGTGTGTGTGTGTGTGTGTGTGTGTGTGTGTGTGTGTGTGTATAGTGTAGTGTAGTGTTAAATAAATTCAAAATCGTTCCTCATAATCATCTCTATTGGACTGGAAATATTAACATCCACCCACCATTGCATTATGATTTTTTCATGTTAGGCACTAAAAGGTCCCTAAAAAAAAGTTTATTGCAGTTCAAGTCAATATTCTTTCAGTTTTCAGCTGGGCAGTTACTCAATTTTATGTTCCAATGCTTTCT